ACCGGAAATACTGGTTTTCTAAATTATAAATCTTATTATCACACGTTTAGTAAAATTTTTTCACATATAATTAAACCATATTTAATTGTTAATTTTATCAGAATCATCAGCAAAGGGCCTCGATAATTTCTGAGCCTTTTTGTGTTCTGATAGCCCAATCTTTTTTCTATATTCAGATAGTTTTGACAACAGTCAATAACCATTGTGCAAGCATAGGAAAGTGTAAAGTCAGTCAAATTAAAAAAAAGTCATCGATGGATTTCTAAATACTTTTCAGCAACGAAAGCATCTTTTAGTAAGTAATCATTACTGTACACGTCTTAGAAGTACTGATATTCGCGAAAAGGGAAAAATAGTAAAAAAAACTGATTTCACTTCCTATTTTTCCATACAAATATGATTCCGGTAACAATTGAAGTAAGAAATGAATACAAAAAATTGCATCATTGAAATCATCGATGGATCAATAAATAAAATTCAGCACAAAAAAAACATCTTTCAGAAATTAATCAGTACTGTAGATGTTTCAGATAATCTTATATACACTAACGGGTACAAAATTGAAAAGAAAAATTTTAAAAAATTTTACTTTCAATTTTTATTCTAAAATATTATTTATCAAACAATTAAGGTTACACAAAAATATGTAGAAACCTTTTTTTTCTTCAATTAATGATATTATTGATGGATTTATAAATACAATTCCACAACGAAAGAAGAGAAAGAAATCATTCTGTTCATTTTTTAGAAGAACTGATATACACTTCGGGATAAATTGTTAGATAAATTTTTAAAAAAACTAATTTTACTTCCCATTTTGTTTAAAACTATTATTTTGTAAACAATTGAGCTAATACAGAAATATGCAATTGTTTTTCGACTAATGGTATTATTGATGGATTTATAAATACAATCCAGCTACGAAAGTAAAGAAAGTAATCAATTGCTGCTCATGTCTATACTAACGTAGAAAAATTCAATTCTTATTTTAAAATATTATTCAATACAATAGAGAATTGAACCAACCCTGAAATGAGTGTTCTATTTTAAATAATTGGAATTACTAATTGATTTATAATATTGATTTATATTGTAAGTCAGCGACAAAAACATCTATCAGAAAGAAACCATTACTGTTAATGTTTTAAAAGAACTGATATACATTAACTAAAAAAATGTTTAAATAATTAAGAAAGAAAAACTAAATGCAAAAAATAAAGAAGAAAATAAATAAGAAAGTCTTATTTCTCATATTTATTTTAAAACATTATTCTGTATAAAATAGAGCTAACACAGAAATATGTAAAAACATTTCTCAATTAATGAGCTTATCGATGGATTTAAAAGCACAATTCAGCAACGAAAACATCTGTCAGAAAGTAATCACAACCGATGGCTTAAAAGAACTGATATACACTAACAGGAAAAATTTTTAAAATTAATAAGAAAGAAAAATTACTTCCCATTTTTATTTTTTAAAATATTATTTCAAAGAACAAAGATTGTTTAATCAGTTATAAACATTAAAAAATTTCCTTTATACTGTCAGTATAAATAATATTTTAGGAATGAGAGGTTTACAATGGAATAATTGGGAGCAAAAAATTGTGCGTGCATAAAAACGAGAAATGAGCAGAAATTGCGTTCTTCAAATTCAATCAGTATTCAAAAATATAAAAATATACATCTGTATTTCGAATAAAAATGTTTTTGTTAATTATAAAATATCATGATTAGCTATGTATTGTTCATTGATCCTTTATAATAAATTATATTTATATATTGTTTCGTCTGGCTTACAGTAAACAGTTCGTGATTTCAAATTAGATGGAAATAGATATTGACGTAGGAATGGTTTTAATACTTCCTCTTCATTTATATTATGCACCAATTGAATATTTTGTGTTTTGTGAGAAATAAAAACTAATTTCACTATTCAAAATATACAGCATTGAAATATTTTATAGGACTTCATTGTTGAAATATATTGTATATCAAGCATAATTCTATTTTTCCTGAAACGTAAAGCATTCAAAATTAACCCTTTTGAAAGTTGGGGGAAAGTGATGCACTTTTATTGACAATGATATAAACATCTAAGAGCATGAGAAATTTTTTCTTATGTTACGCGGCTTTTAACCATCCATTTTGAAACAGTGCTAACATAAAACATCTCTTCAGTAAGGACGCAGGTACGATGACCAAAAATTTTGGCTCAATTTCTTTCTTTCCAGCAATATTGTGATATTTTGCATTTGTAATTTTATATTAATCAAGAGTATGTCCAATGAAATTTGACTTTTATTCTAAAATTATGAATTAAAGACTGCTCTTAAATATAATGATTTCTTCTATTTTATTATCATTTGACTAGCGTAATTAACGCCATAGACAAATTGTCCTCTAACAATGTGTTTCAAAATGGCTTTTGCTATTGTCATTAAAATGGTGATTAGCATTTATACTGTGTCTATACATTATTTAATGCATACTGCAGTACGAATTATTTTATGTACTCTGGAGCACAGTATTATTTAATGCATACTGCATACATGAATATACTGAAAATCTACTGTTACTACGAGGTATTCAAAACTTTATATATATATACCCACTTTATCCTTATATATATATATATATATATTGGGAGTACAAATTAGTGTTCAGTCCGTTTTTTGTGTGGTCAAAAATGCATTTATTTTTGAACAAAGCAATAATGCATTTATTTTGCATTTATTTTGAATGCATTTTCGCGTTCTGAACAGATTAGGCAATTTTCGATTTCCATATCGATAAAATGTCTCCTCTTTCGAGGCCATCCACGTTAGGGGCCAATTCTTGTTTTCTGCGAAAGCAGTTTACCAGTAACTTGCCAAATCGTGCTGCATCCGACGGAAAGACCAGTAATCAGAAGATGCAATGTCCAGTGAATACGCCGGGTGCTGTAAAATGTCCCACTTGAGCTATTCCAAATATTTTTTACTACTTTTGTGACATGAGGCTGACCGTTATCATGCAGAAGAATCACATGTTTTTGCTCATATTCCGGCCATTTTTACCGTAATTCATGGCTCAAACGAATCAATTGCAGCCTATGCCTTTCTCCCGTAATGAAATCGCTAGGTTGTAGCAGCTCATTGTATACATCACCATTCACCATTCTTGAAATGTCGAAACCAGCTGTCACTATGAAACATTCATAACAACCAGAGCCATCTTTTGAAAACGGACCGAACTTATATATATATATATATATATATATATATATGGGCGAATCTCAGGAATCATTAACCTATATGTCTTCAAACTTTTCTTATAAATATATAACATAATAAGCGAAAATTAATTCTTATAAAATTACAGGAATAACTATGCATTACTTNTCTTATTTCAGAAACAATTTTTTTCTTTTTTTAAATCAGCAGTGGGGACAAGTGAGGGAATGACATATTGGTATATTTTAATTACCTAAAATAAATAAAAAATAAAAATTGATAATTTTATTCTTATTCTTTAGTTAGCCTGTATTCTGAAAGACACTTTCCCTGAATTTTTTTTGGTCATAAGTTGTAAAACAAACATAAAATATACTGGGGACATGAAAATGACTGTTTTTGTGAGAATGACCCATATATATATGGGCGAATCTCAGGAATCATTAACCTATATGTCTTCAAACTTTTCTTATAAATATATAATTTAATAAGCGAAAATTAATTCTAATAAAATTACAGGAATAACTATGCATTACTAACTTCAAGATACGTACAGTTTTGATTGCGAATAACTTGCTTTTGGCTTTCATTGCCTAATTTATTTTCTGTGTTGTGTGCATCACATTGCGTTGCATCTGAGTAAAGTTTTCGATCTATTCCCTAGGTTGTCCAGACCGTAACCCTGTCAAACCGTAACCTCCGGATTAATTAATTGAATTTAACATATCAGAAATTAGTTTTTTCCCTATTATTTACTGATTAAAGATATTTTTTGACTGAAAATAATTAAAGTAATCCTTTTTATACATTTTATAACAATTTAGCTCAATATTAAAATTTTTCAATTCATTTATGATACTAATAATTTTTGATGAAAAATTAAGGGTAAATGTGGAAAATTCAAAAATTTTAATTTTTTGCTTATACTTATAAGGGCATCAAAATTTTCGATGTTCACGATTATTTTCTGATATTTTATAAATTTTCAAACAATTCTGGGGGTGTAAAAATAGTGTGCCTATTATGTTTCATTATTTTTTTTATTATCAAAAGTTAAAGATTCTAGAGATCTGCCCATATAATTTAGTTGGAGACACCCATGCATAAAAATCAAATACTTACTTTTGGACTGATTATTACAAATGAATATTATGACAATTATTAAAAAAAATAACTAAGTCTAGTTAAGGATTAGACACATTATTAATGTTTCTGAGATTTTCTTGGTCTTTGGAGCACCACCGGTTATTAAATAATGCTCTAAGAATTGAATGAACATTCGCCAGTAAATCTGTTTTAAACGCTAAGACAGAACTATTCACAATTGCAACCATTTTAATTAAACTAACAAAACACTACCGCAGATAATTTTTTCAAACGTAACTATGTTAATTTCTTCATTTGGAATCTTAAAGCAAAAATAATTTCGCACCCTAAAATAATTTTAATCACTGACTTCTACTATTTTCCTGCAAATGCACTGCCCCTCTTTTATTGGAGTAGCACACATATTTAAATAATAAAAAATTGCTATGCTTGTAGAATGAAAAATATAACAATCATTTCACGTGTTTTAATTCAAATTAAAAATTTACAAATTCAAAGAAGATTTATGGTTGTGAAACGAAGAAATAAAAATAATAAAAATTAAATATGAATTTTCGAAATGTGATCGAATTTTGAAGTCAAATTTCAGTGTGGATTTCAGTTGATGTAAACCGCACTATAAAAGCTACATTATAAGACCTGCATATTTTTAAGGAAACTATCGATATCATCACGTTATTTAAATTTATTAACGGTGATCCAACATGAAAGAAAAAAACATTTTATTTTGCCAAGTTTTTTCCATGCTGGTCAAACAGCTTGATTGAATCTTGGAAATTATTTGCAGGAACATCAATAAAAAACCATAATCCCAATAATCCAACCAACTGAGCTTGTACTAATTCATGATGGTTTGACGTCAGGAGCGCAACAGTTTTGATTGATTGTTTCTGCTGAACTTACAGAAACTTCTATCATAATTACTCAGTCATTAATGGTTAAGTGACCGTTAAGGATTTCCTGTACCCTACACTGTAAAAAATTCAGGGTTAAAAATACGGTATAAACAGTAACGCATTTTTACGGTAAAATTGGGTTTTTCCACGAGCATCTCAGGGAGCAAAAGTTCTGATGCACCTCAAATTTAGCAATAATAATTATCGTAAAAATCACAGAATCACTCTAATTAGACGAATATTATTTTAAGATTACGATAACTTTACCGTAATTTTTACAGTAATAATTACCGTAAAATCGTTGAATCATTCTAATTAAGTAAATATTACTGTAAAAATTATGAAATTTTTTTTGCAGTATTAATTACCGTAAAATCATTGAATCACTCAAATTAAGTAAATATTACTTTAAAAATTACGATATAATATTTCCCTTTAAAAATAGATTGTATGGTAGAAAGGATTTTACTGATGATGCACCAAAAGTGCATCCGTAAGATCCATTTATGAATCATCCAGAGAGTAATATCCATCAGCGAAATTTAAACTCGTAAATGATAGTTAAGATGAAAAAAGACATCTTGTTTAGATGGCCCATCTACGTTGTACCAACAAGGTTTCGCATTGTGGAATCCTAGAAATTTATTGTTAATGTCATCAAAAATAAACAATTAAAAAAAAACCTATAACATTTTTTTTTTTGTTTTTAGTCGAGACTACCAAGAAGATCAATTCAGATTAATTTAAGATGTTCTATCATGAAGAACGTATGGATTTTGATTTACAATTTTTTGGTAAATCTAACCAACCAGTATTTAAATTATAGTCTATAGCAAATTTATTGTGGAAACTATTATATATAATAATCATTTCAATATCAGAACTCTCACTCGTAAATGATGAAGGCTAACTACTTAATCCAGGTACCATAGCGTGCCCTTTATGTTCATTTGTTTATATTCTTGTAGTTTATGTCTCCCAAATAAATAAATGAACTTACTATAAATAAGTGAAATTATGTATTTGTTTTAATGTTTTCGGGTTGTTTCTCTTTAGTTTTTCTTTTCCCTTTTAACAGAATTATTTTCACAAAATTCGGAACGAAGAATGTTTTTGCTAGTATTTCACAATTTATTATAGTTCATTCAAATTCTACGCTGGAAAATCATTATGTGTGATATTACTTTCAATGATTATTCTAAAATAATTAATTGGATCCTAATTCAGGAAAAAAATAATGAATACTGATATATCCAGTATTACGATTAAAAAGTGCATCAAAAGTATTTTTTGCGTACTTATGGCACCATTTTCTTATTTTTTCAGTCCATTAATGTACATGTAAAAGAACTGTACTTTTTTTTTTAAAAGAGATACATAATTATTATTTTTTTATTTTACTTCTATTCTGAATATATTTTATGAACCCCCCAATACATTTTTTTCTCTTAGGTTATATGCCTGAAGAAGCTCCAATCATTTTAAGTTATGTTACCAGAAATGTAAGGAATACTGCCAGTTATTTTGAGCATGGTCTGTAACTTCAAGCATTGTATGCAATTACGATAAGCTATGAGAGTGGATTAATGAAACTATGTAAATAGCAGAGAAAAGGAACTGTAGAATATTTTTTGTATATTTTATTTATTATATTCGAGTTGATAACCAAGTGAAAACTATATTTTACTAAACATTTTTTTGCAAACAATGCGACTCATCTTGAACATCACTATTTACAGTGGAAGGACAAAATAATGTAAACAATTCTAAATTAATATTTTTTTTTTAATATTTCTTCAAAATTACTTAATGAATTGTTAAATAGGAATTTAACATTTATTGTAATAACACTTTTCTAATAATAATATCACACCTCTGCACAAGAACTCACAAATCTTTTCTCATATATCTTAAAGACATTCTAGTTTCAGTTTGTAAACAGAACAACACCGAATGCAGTGTCTTAGGAGAGCTTATCATTCGGGCAACAATCATCTCTGATTGGACAATGGAACGGTAAAGGAGCCAATCAGATGAAGGAAAAGAGTCTTGGAATTCCGCTAATGATGAGGCGAATAATTGTATGGCTGATAAGCCGAAGACGTAATAGAGAAACTTTTCTTTTTATTGTGGCATCAGTTTGATTTCATCTTTACCGCCAGATTTGAAAACAGGATTTTTGAGCTGGTTGTTGGTCTTCGTGAGGCTAGGGGGCTTCGGCCCCTACGCTAGTTTTTTTGTGTGCTGCTAGAGACTCCTTGAGAGTTTCATATTTTTTTTGAATGTATGTGTTTGTTGATAAAAAACATGCATTTCAATCTTTTTACATCTGAAACAAATTTTTATTAATTATTTGCTTTCTAAGCAATTAATTTATTTTATAGCCAGGATGAATATGCTCTGGCAATTATTTTGTGAATTAGTTTTATAATGAACATTTTTGTGTAAAGGGATATTTGATAGATAGCCAAGACAATAAAAATGCTTTTGTAAGTATACTTTTGTTTCAATTGTCCTTGATGTTTCTGCTCTGATTAATTATTTGATTTTAGATTATTCTAATTTTTTTTATTCTAGAGAATTGAGCTTTTCACACGTTTTGTACTAACCCTAAGATCTTAATTTATTTTCCAGCACGTGTTACCATTAGGTCGATCACTATGAATGATTATTATAGAATAATGTTTAAGAGTAGATTTTGATTGCAGTATTAGTCCTATAATATAGTGATTCCACATGGAATTAAAATTTATTCCTTTATTCTTAATTTCTGCTCGTGCTGATTTCTGATTAATTTATTTGGCCAGTTCGTTTTAATGTTATATTCTAATATTTAAATTTGATCGCATAGTATGCTGAGATAAATGCTTAACATGTTATTCAATGAGGTATTTTTAGCATTACCTTTCTTGATTAAAAATTATCAAGTATCACATGATTGAGGTAAATGAATTCATTTGTTTAAACATTTTGTGTTTTATTTGTTCGAGTTTAATAGCTAATGTATATTAGGTGTAATTGTGGATATAATGTATAACTACTTAATTCTCACTTTAATCTTGTTTTAACTAACCAAAGTCAATAAGTGACCCCAAGATAATATGTGTCTCTACACAGACAAAATTTAATACGAATTGTTTTAAAACTTAAGAATTGTTTAGTGAATTGTCATGTGATTTATCATACATATCAGTGAAGTTCAAAGCTTATAGAGGCTTGAGGGACAGACAGTAAATAACAAAGGAAAGCAATGTTTTTGATCACGATGTGCTGAAAAGTGTAGCAATGGATTTGTAACTTTTATTAGCTATTTTGATTTTTATGTGCAACCATTACTCACCATTTCGTAACCCTAGTTTAAATATTTATAGAGACATGATAGATTTTATTTTGTCTTACGTTTTTTTGTTGTAACTATATTCTATAAAATTATAATTATTGCTATATTCAATAAAACTAAACTAACTTCTTAGAGTAATTTTCAATTAATAATATAAATATTTGCTTAAAATTTGAAAACAATGTGTTAAAATTGATCAAGATATGAGTAGTTAAAGTAGTTCTTTTATACTGCGCATGTGCGGGATTTCGTAGAGAATCAAATTTTGCAGTTGATAAAGAAAGTTCGATTTGAATATATTAAAAATTTAAAAAGTTTCAAGCAATTTTCTAAGCAGTTTTCGTACTTCTTAAAAGAAAGCGCGAAATGATAAGAGGAGTTTACAAATATTATTTTGCATCATTCTCTAACACAGGTTTATTCTTTTTAAGAAAATCAATTCTAAGATGAACCTTTATGAATATATTATCATATTTTAAACGTTATATCTTGCAGTTTTTCTACATCTTCGAATTGCATTCTAATTAGGTTAAGTTAAACTACAGTGTCGCGTAATCAGAGAGATAATTAGGTTTTAATGTCATCCGATACTGAATTAAAAACGTAATAACTGTAACCGAAATTACGATTCAAGAAACCACAAAATTTTTTACAATGTCTAGGTGCCTAATGTCTAAAAGTTTGAATTTTCAAATTTACACTGTTAGAATTATCATTATGAAATTATGACAAAATAAGCGACAGCAATGTGCCCATCCAATCAACCGTCAAGTTTACAGTAAATAACCTTTTTTAAGCTTTACGGTTTTGAAACCGTTTTCAACTAGTATATTTAGAAAATCATGAATTCAAAATTATATCGTTTTTTAACCATTTGCTGCAAGCATAGTCTTAAAACCGTCAAAATAAATTTGCCTTAACATTTGAGCTAGGCTTTTCGTTAGGTAAAGGGCATTGCAGTTTGGTTCTAAATGAGTTGTGTTTTATCAAATGAACAAAGAATGTGAGTTATTTGGATTATTCGGTTTCACCAATCATAAGAGACGGGAAATATTTGACTTTTATAGTGGTAAGCAGTTTTATGTTCCTGACATCGATACGTGAATGAAAGTATCATATTCTAACATTCCAGGGTCACAAATTGAGGAGTACAGGACTCTCTAAACTCTTCATAAGTTAAACGAAAATGAGGAAATATTGTTGTGTAAAAGCTGGGTCTGGACCCCTGTTCTGTCAATCATAAGATTTCCGGATTTGCTCCAGATAAAATGTATCCAGTTGTAAAGAACTAAGCAGCTTCATTTGGTGAGCCAAGTTTGTGCGACAAAATTCTGACTGTTTAACCATATTAGGGAAAAGCAGTTTATAAACTGTTTTCCTCACATTTAACAGTTTAAATATCTTCTTACGTTTAGTTATATTAAAGTTTTTTTTAGCATGGTAAAATAACAATTAAATAAATTGTTATTTATCCATTTTTCTCAAGAAATTTCTTACAGTGTATTTAATAAATTTTATTTTTCTGATGCGCAAGGAAAAAATAATTCTTAATAATCTATGCAAATTTTTATTAAATGTTTGAAAACTGATATGGTTTATAGGTCAACAGCTGTTTCATTTGATTTCAGCATTTTTCTTGATCATGAAGTCTATCCAAGAAATCCATACACTCTTTCTATAAAAAAGAAATCAATATATTATTTTAAAATTAAACAGTATTTTTAAAAGTTTAAGAATACTACAGAAATTGTGATGGTCTTAGGTTTGATCTATCAGTATGCTTTAGAACTATATATTATATCAAAAACGAATTTCTTAAGGAAAAAGTTCAAATTAGAAACTTTAAATCATTTTACTAAATTATGTATTAATAAAAATGCGAAACTCCTTAGACTACGTATTTATAATCTACAAATATAAATTTGGGTATTATTAGATACTTAGTTTATACGAACTAAATTTTTTGTTACACACATAACACAAGAAATTTTTATTAAAGATAAATTAATTTTTTTTTTATAAATAATTTCGACTGAAATATAAATAGTTTATGTGACACAAAAATCTATTACCAAATAAAGTTTAAATATTTTCACAGTTTAAAAAGTAAAAACATTAAAATACCAGTTAATAATTAGAAATGACTCATAAAGCATGGGGGCTAAACAAATTTAATTATGCATGCTTGCTAAGTAATTCTGTATGCTTATTAATTATGTAATGTAGTTAGTTTAATTATGTATGCTAATTAATGATGCTTAATTATTTTAAAGCAGATGGGACTATTGTGTAGAGTGCATCTTTTGACTAAAATTAACTTCTCCTTACAAATTTAGAAAATAATCCTTCCTTGGTGATAAATTTTATGCACTTTTTTCTCTCCATTCGAAAGTTTTAAAAAGGTACATTACGCAAAAAAAGATAATCATTTTGACTAATTTTTGTTCCAATAGAAGGAATTGCACGTTAATATTTGTTATTATATTATTTAATAATTTTAGAAAAATTTTTAAATTTAAAGTACACAAATTTTTACATGAGTTTAAAGAATGTAAACTTTGAGGCAAAATAAAAATAAATTTGAAAAGGATTTATAGTTTTTGAAAAGAAACTATTCGACCCGAAAAACTAACAAGCGCATGCTCCACACGCTATAAAAATACGCTATACAATGAGTTTTAAATGTCAAAAATCATAATCCGTTGAAAAAAGGCATGTATCAAGCATGTAAATAAAGAATGTTTTGTGTCTAATTTCGTAATTTATGATATTGTCTTCATTAATTAATTTGCATATTTGAAGTTACCCTCTTGAAACAGTATGATTGGTTCTAATAAGTGAAAATCCTATAATTAGATCAAAAGGTATGCCAGAAGATTCGTGTTTCTCCATGCTCTGAATTTAGTAATGCAATTGAACAATAAAGAAATTTTTTTACATACTATTCTATTGCTACTTTTAAATTATTATTAAAAATATATATTTTTAAAGTTACAAATATATAAGTTATTAGAACAGAGAACAGAGCAAACTATTATTATATTATAAATTTTTTTTTAAATATGCTTTTAGTATCACCATAAAACTAATGAAAATTCATAAATTGACTTTCATAGGGCAGAAATGTGCCAAAAATTGTTTTTAGTGATGTTTCATTTTTATTGAATCAATTTCAGTAATAAGATTATTTTGATAAATTTTAGCAATCGGAGAGATTCCGTCATTTTTAAAAAACTACCACCAATCATTTAAGAAATGATTAGTTTTAAATTAATGCCGATATAGAACTATTGAAATAATACTAACGCAACTATTTAAAATACTTAACATTTTTTTTCAGATAAATTTCCCCTAGAAAAAATTTCTGAGTTTAAAGCAGAAATTACAAATTCTTCCATTTGAAGGTTAGGAAATTTCTGAATCCCCGGAATAGTTTTGTAATGTTCACTGCGATTTTTATGTATTTATATCTAGATTTCGATTTAATGTAATATTTAATTCATTACATACTGTAGTATTTTAGTAAAATATATGTAATATAATATATGTAATAAAATATAATGTCTTTGCATATATATATGTTTAGTAAAATATATGTAAGCTAAGACGTTAATGTTTTGGTTCGAAAAAATCAGAATTTTTCGAAAATTCAAAAATTAAATATTTTTGAAAGTTGATTAAATATAATATAAAACTTAACTTAATTTATATACTATAAGTATAAAATATTATGATATGATAAAGTTATATATTTCTGTATCAAAATTCAGTTTTTTTTTTAAATATAATAATTTTGAACTTTATTTTATTTTTATAGATATAGAATTATCTTTCCGAAGGCGTCCCCTTTTGATCCGGCAATTTTGTTGTTGAAAATTCACCTGGTTCAGGAAGAATGTTTAAAGCTGGTGTATAAACATAATGAAGGCAAAAATAGGAACAAACCGCGGTATAAAAACTCTGGCGATTGCTTTGCTGTTAACTTTCTGGACTTTGACCATTTACGATCGTTTGAAACACCGCTGCTTATTCTCAAAGCTTGACCTGCGGGCTCCTCACGTTCTTATGGAAAGACGTCTGTAGCATCATGTTTCTTTATTCCCAAGCGTCAAGAAAATTTTCGATTTTCAAAGGGCATCATCAATGGAGACAAGAAATGGATTTTCTCCAAGAATGTTCTGGTCTCTCTAAATTTTTTCAGATGGTTATACTTTACTTCAAGATAGGTGTTCAAAACCTCCCTGAATTAGTTTTTTACAAGCAAATAAGAAACATTTTATGAACCTGGAATCACGCTAGGGCCGAATAAATTGCAAAAGGTACAGCACCAGAATGACTTGAAAGGTGGAGCGAAAAAACAGTTTGCAGTAATCGAAAATCACTAACTTCCAAAAGTTGTATATGGATTAGTATTTCCCTCCGGATTTTTCTTACAATTTCTGTGCACCATCTTCATTTCCAGTAAAAGCATTAAATTTTTTAAATTTCTTTCGAGAAACAGCAATTTTTTGTAAAAAAAAATGACTTTTTTCTAAAAATTGTCGGAAGAATACAAAACCTCTTGCAAACATTGTGTATTTACTAAAATATTACCCATGAATTGTTTTGAAATTGTTCCGGTTCATTTTCTTTTTCATTTAGTAACGGACTCAGGAGGGGTTTTTTATTAGCTTTTTTCAGATTATTAATACTATTGTGAGGCTTATAAAATTGCAACAAAAAGTAAACAAGAGAGAAAGAAAAACTAAAGAGTACGCCATAGCTTGACAAAAGTAGCAATGCTAACTGATTTAATTTATGCATAAAATCACGTTGAAGCATATTGAAGGAAGCTAGTTCCATTAGGTAGATGGATCTAATTTTCGCATGCAAATTTATGGACCTTTTTTTATGGTAGTGACTATCTTGCATTCGAAAGTTTCCAAGGGCTTAATTACACCGAATTTGGTATATATTTTGTAGAAGAAACTACTTGGTTTACATTTATTAAATATTTTTGATCTGCTCTGAGATCAGAAATGTTATATTCTCTCATTTCTGACGAATCTTATTAATCCGCTGAAACGTATTAGTTAGATTGTTCCCAGTTGAGCTCTTGCCCATTGATGAGAATAATCCTTAAAGGTTCATTCTCTTACCGTCCTGGTAATTCATAATATTTTTTAGTCTTTGCACATTTGAGTGAAACTCACCTATCACCCTTTTTGCAGATCCTTTTAAGCAGACAAATAATGCCAAATTCTAAACATTTACCATAGTTCTGATGCAAATAACTACAATAAGCTTAGATGCAGCATTAGTTTCGCTATTTAAAAGAATCAAAATGGATTCCTTTATATCCGACACTGAAGGGGTTTACGGACAGATGTGTCTAAGTTAAATATGTAGTTCTTAGTTCTTGAATAATCTCTATATATGGTTTTATTTTAGATCTATGATTGAAGTGACTCTCTTTCCACCATTGGGACTAACGACTTGTTTTTTTCCTCCATGAAAGTAAATGCCTAGAAGTTTGATTTACTATTCAGCTATTTAATTCCGTATATTTAATTACAGTATTCTTTGCTACTTTTATCTATTCTACATCTGTCTTCAGTGATTGAAGAATCGTTGCATTCTGTAATTTCATCTTTTAATTTTTAGTTTGTATTTTCATCTTTGTTTTTACTCTCTGTAAATGATTTGATAATGCGACCGCAAATGCAGCACCAAGTCCATCCAGCAATATATACCTGGCACATGTTTTAGCAGCAGTCACAAGTTCAATTCTAGTTAGGGGTGTGGCTGAGACTGAAGGTGCTGGAAAGCATGAGACTTTTGCTTCTCCTTTGACATCAAATTTGAAGGCTTTAGAATGCGCTCTTTGCCTTTTTTTGTAACTAAAATGTTTTGATTTAGCTTGTTTTCTTGAAATCTTGCAACTTGTGCTTCGCCTACAGCTAGATTCGTTTTCTTTTCTATCCATCTTTTGATTTAACTGCAATAAACTTGTCAATTAATTGAACCTATACGTAATCGTAACAAAGTGAGCTAGTCATGAAAAAACTCGCTCTTTAGATGAAATTTCCTGTGATTTATTTCAAATGTAATCATTGATTCCACATTTGTGAAGATATGGTGTACTCTTCACTTTTCTATATATTGTTTACTTTTGGTTGTTACTTTAAAATATTATTAATAATATAAAAGAAAAGGTAAAAAATCCCTCATGAGTCAGTTACTGAATGAAAAGGAAAATGAACCAGAAAAATTTCAAAACAATTCATTAGTAATACTTTTCTAAATACACAACGTTTGCAAGGTGTTTCATTTTCTTCCGACAATTTTTTGAAATATGATATTTTCTTACATATTTTGTACTTTTTGTAAAATTTTTTTAGCTGTTGTAAAAAGTGAAAATATTACTGAAAATTTCTGATAAAATACACAAGTAATATTCATTAAATACACGCCTTTTAACTGATGATTTGTTTTATATGACAATTCACGAAAATTTGAAAAAATTTTAAAGAAATTTGCTGTTTTATGAAAAATATTAAAACTATAAGGCTTTTGCGGGAAATGAAGATGATACATAAAAAATCTGAAAGAACCCGCATGTGATATACAAGACCATGTACAACTTTTGGGACGTAGTGCTTTTTATGTATCGAAATCTTTTTTTTTTTCACTTCACACTAATGGCCAACTTATAAAGAAGTAAAACATTTATTCCTTGGCACTCGTAAGACATTGAAAAAAAAGCTAAAATACTTTATAAACAACCCAATACATGAAATAATTTGAAATTTTTTATTATACGATATGATGAGGCATGTTTTTACATTGTTTACTTTTACATTAATTTTTTAAATATTTATTTTAATAATTTATTTATTTTAAATAACTTTGCATAAATATATAAAATTTTAAAGTTAAGTCAACCGTTTTTTTAATTTTTGCTTGATTTTTAAAAAAAAAAATTCTGTTAAAATATCAAATACTTGTTTAAACTTTCTGAACACAAATTAAGGTTCTTGAAACATAAGTTTCTAAAGTTTCTTACAACAAGTGTTCTCAATTTTTAAGGTACATCAATATGAAACTAATTAAACATAAATAATGATCTTGTATAAAAAAAATAAATTTCCAATGGTTAACAAACAAAATTAAATTTCAAATTGAGTAAATGAATCTAAGCCGCATTATTATTTAAGTGCACTTTTTTTTAATATTTCCTTTATAAAATTATTATTTAATATTACCTTTATAAAATGTAATTATACTGCACTCTTAAAGTATACTCGCAAAAATTATTTTGACGAAATATTTCAGAAACATAAATTTTATTTTTTTCTGCTTTTTGGAATAATACTTGTATTATATTTTCAATATTGACTTCTTTAATTAACATCTTGAATTCAGATTTTTGATACGGGTAGAGAAACTTACCGATCGTTCTGACCAGCGCTGGCATTCATCAGTTGGATTTGTACAAATTTCCTTTATAAAGTAATAAATAATATTAAATTAATTAAGTTTTTCCAAAGATGAAGAATGTTTAAAGTGGTAAAAAATATCAAGATTAGAGAAACTCAAAAACATTGTTAATTGAAATTCTAAAACATTAAAGCATTGTTTTTATTTCGTTCTTTTAAATAGTCGTTAAAGATGTATAATAATTAATTATAATTTCTTTGCAATAGATAATATGTTTTATTTACATATTTCTTTTCATGAAAGGATAAAGATATACACTTATAAAGGAACTTGCATATTATTCATAATAAGTACTTGTAGTTGTGAATTTATAAAGTGCACTTTTAATGCATAAGTTCTGTAGTTTAAAATTTCGTTACTTTCAGATGTTATAATGTAGTTTGACTTTAAAAAATGTAAATGTATTGCATGTGGTAAAATTAACAACAATAATTTTTTTATTGCTGCATTTGAATATAAAAAAATTTCTACTTAATATATTTACAATTTGATCGAAATTCATTACAAAAACACTCCCTAATAATTGTTATGGATTATTTTTCCCTTGTCCAGCATTAAATGATGAAATATACACGTGTGTTCTGCTTGGAGGAAAACCATTGACATTTGTCTCACTTAGCTGCTTATATATCCGATATATTTTCGAATTACAAAAAAAATTATTTAATTTACTATAGCAAAAGTTGTTCGAAATGGCGGTCATTGGCGTCATTTCACAGTATACAGGGATGCAAAAACAATTCCCAGATGCACCTGAAGATGTAAGGTAAGCTTTTGACATCTGCCAAAGTGAAGACAGTCTGAAAGTTGGAAGGAGGAGTGGCATGTATCTGGTAAATTTAGATAGTACACGCTTCAATTGATTGCCACCATTTGTCTCTTCTAGATTCAAAGCCTACCCAGAGAGCAGTCTAAGGTGGATTTTAATGTCAAAAACAATGTTTATCACAGAGGCCAACAAGGTTTATGAATAATTAACAAATAAACCAAGCAAAGCTTGAAGCAGTCTTAAATTTAACTATACAAACTAGCAAAAACGAGGTAGTTTGCAGTAAAAGGTAAAAAAGGATATTTTTTTGTAAAGTATTAGGCCTGTTTTTATGAAATCTAAAATGAAGTAAGCTTGTTATACAAATATTTCCACTAAGTTTAAAAAAATAAATAGATAAATAAGTAAACAGATAAATAAATAGATAAATAAGTAAATAATAAACATTTCTATGCCAACCAAATGAAAATGAACATACAGAGTTTACAGTACAGGTGTCCTGTAAAGTGAAAACTAACGTGTTTCGTAGTTTTTTACTATCATCGAGGTTTGCGAACCCATGCTCTATGTAAACATTTCATCGTTTTGATTTCTTTCATTACTTTTCTGAATTTGTTGATCGAATTTTGCACTATCCTGTATCCATACTTCATTAGAAAAATATTTGTCAAAACTCAAGTGTATAGTTTTTAATCATTATGTTGTAGGTTAACCTAATAAAACCTTGCTTAAATAGTTTTTAATTAAATAGAAACCACAGTTTTAGGATTAAATATCACATAGGCATTACATATTATAGTCAAAAAAAATTCGATGACTTTTTTTATTCTTCTGAATTTCTTGATTGAATTTGTACAATATCTTGCATTTATTAGATGAGATTTATTATATTGCATTCACTGATTATCCTTCAGAGGAAAAATATTTATCAAAATTCACACATACACTTTTTAATTATTGAGTTTGAAGTTAATCTTGTATAAACCTGGCTTAAATGCTTTTTTTAGTGAATGGAAACCATAGTTTTCGGAATATACATCACACATGCATTACATCTTATAGAGAAAAAAAAATAATTAACTTACTGAATAGTTTTCTAGATATATTTGTACAATCAAGTTAAACAAAGTTTCCTGTAAAATTAAAGAAAATCACTAACAAATCCTCAACGTATACAGTAAATATCATATTACAGCTTTGCCAACAATCTTTTTTTTTTTCAGATTAAAACTGTACTAAAAATTATAATGAACAAAATGTATAATGCACAAATTAAAATTCAGAAATCACGTTACTGATATGTTTTTTTTGCAATCTAATTACTCAAAAGTCTAAAATTAAATAAAATAATTCATGCAAATGGTGTTTGAATTATGATGTCCGACCTGAAGTTGCAATTTCTTTGAATAAAGTAGTCTTTTTTCGGGAATATTTAACTTCAATTCGTTTGGGAGGGAGAGGAAACAGCTGCAATCTAGAAAATAATACAATACACCCACTTAGCCAAGGAAAATTGATGAACTTTTAGATTCTTAAGTATATATTCTTTGCCAATCTTAAGGCTCTGAAAATATTTTAGCTAATCATTAGCCATTTTATGCATAACTATTTGAATACGTGTTCTTCGTTTGGGGAGAAAAAAGAAAATAACAAATAAGTCAGCGTTGTTAACAAATATGTTGCAGCATAAAGAAATTATTCACAGGACTGAAAGTTATATTACACAATTTATAAAGCTAAAATATTTTTTTGTAAAACTTAATATCATATTTTGTCCTTCAGAGTGGCTTTGCTTTATTAGATTTTACAATTCACGTTATCAGTAGTTTATCCATCAAAGAAACATGTGGTTTCATATAACTGAGATGTTAATCGTTAACAGCAGGACATTGATCATTGTGCTTATATTACATAACGATTAAAAAATAATTCGATATTAAAGAAGGTGCAAGACTTCTTCATTTATTTATGAGAACTATAAGCTAGCTAACATCATCTGATATCATCGTTACATATCTAAAAAAACAAAATGGAATCATCTGCAGTTTACTTTATGTCAAATATGACTTCTAAGTCTCTGAGAATATTTGGTTTTTCAAGTATCTCAGAAGAACAAACTCAAAATTAAATTTTTGAATGAATTTAGAATCGGGGGCAAAAATTGTTCTTTTTATCCACTGTTTAATTATCAAGACGTAAGCCTAAACAATTTTGAATTTATAAGAGGAGACAAAATATAGATTTTATTATTATTAACTAAAAAGCTTACATTAACAATTTTTTATAAACATAAACTATTAAGGTTATTATTCTGTTTCCATTGAATAATTTAATAGTGTTTGTAAGATTTTTTTATTTAGTTTACGATGTATACAAATTCATTAGGAGTCTTTTTAAATAGCAAAACACAAAATTTGTACAAAATCGGTGAGAATAATGAAATTTTGCCAAAGTCAAACTTTCTAAATTTTTACTTCTCATGCATGTTTAAATGCAATTTGATGACAATTTCAGATATTGTTGTGTAATATTGCCGTTCGATTGTTGTTTAATATTGCCGATAAAACGATTCTCAAATTTCTCAAACATTATTAAATTAAATAATAAAAATTAAGAAATAATTTCTAAAAGATTTCATTCAATTAAGATGAAGGAGATTAGTAAACATTTTTTTTTTGCTTAAGTTTTTCCACAGATATGGAGAATCAAGCTGAAACTATTGGAAACATAATTTCCAGATTGTGAGTACCTTTATTATTTTGCGAGACAAAAAATTATTTCGTGTTTAAAAGAAAAAGTATCGTTATTAAAATAAGATGAGCTTTAAATTTTGTAACTTAATTTCATCTGCACAAAAGTACATTTAATGCTCTCTTAATTATTCGTTAATTAGAAAAATTTAGATTAATTAAGACGGTCTCTGGAGCCAAGACTATTAAACTGTTTGATAATTTTCAATTCGCGCAATATGCTTTGAATTAAATACACAATTGTTAAATACACAAACAAATAATTTATTGTTACAATATTGTTGTTAACCTTGAACATGGCTGAAAATAATCAATAAAAAATCATAGCGAAAACTTAAATAATATTAATAATAATATTTCATTTTTATTTTTAAAAAATAAGTTGCTTCCAATAATTTCCATTCTTTTTATACCATTACTTTAATATGAGAAGTAAAGAAAGTGAAAGAAAATAGTTTTCTTGATGGCAATAAAAGTAATATCTTTAGGCAGAAAATATTAAAACATTGTTAACGATATAATAATACATTTATACAATTCAAAATGCCAATTTGATCTGATAAGAGAGGTATTGCATATTAATTTCATGATTTCAGAAAAAGAGGTTTGATTTTAGAGAGTGGTAGTTTTTTTTTGTATTTATAATTTATGTAATTTCAACCGTTACTTTTAACTTCAGAAGCAAGAAATCGAAAATAAGATAGCGAATGTCTAATAGTATAATACACTCAAAATAGCAATTGTTTGGAATGTCTTTTATAGAAGGTATTTTGTGCCATTGACCTTAAAAACAATCTACGGAGGTAGAATAATTTTACTTCAAATGAACAATGTAGAGTAGAGTGCTAAGAGTAGAATGCTAAGGAATGCATAGCATTTCTTAGCATTCTACTCTTAAAAATGTCTAGATAAGCCTCCTTTCATAGGGGAGGGGAGGGGAGGGGAGGTGATATTGAACAACTAAAGTTGCTTACTTGTTGTTTTGTAATTTTTGTAACCTGGCAAAGATGGGTTCAGACTTCCTCTAACACTTGATATCTCGATCGTTCTCTCATTAAGAATGCACAAATTTAAAAAGAAGATATTGAGCACAAAAAGGGTTGCAAATTTCATTTGGAATCGTTATCATAGGCTGCGAGATCAAATAGCACAGTTCATGAAAGGAGTGTCTAGTATATTTTTCGTATAAAAAAATACAGTTACCTAACTAAAGAAATGAGGTTAATCATGGTGAGGGTGCTTTTCATGGTTTGAACTGGGAATGTAAGTTTCTGTGAATGGGAACATGAACTTCGTATGTATGTAATCATTCTGGGCAGCTCTTCTTCCCCAACTATTCGGCAGTATTTAAGAGGAAAGTTTATTTCTTTTCTCGCAGAATATAACTGATCTATTCACATCACAGGGTATTTATTGAACAGCCATGGTTTGGTGAAATGGTTGTTTTAAACCTGAACTAGCCTAATAAGAGCCTTGATCTAAATCTAATGCAGACCTTTACAATGAATTGGAACACAGATTGCATACAGAGTCGAATTGACCATTCTCACTGCCAGCACACACTTCGGCTGTGATGAACCTTAGCAAGTCAGTTCTTAAGGCCACCTATTGAAAAAATGATGGAACGTTTCCCCGGACATGTGTAGGCTTTCATCGACGCGATATAAAAAGAGGAACATTATTTTACTAAAGCATGCCTTATGTCTCGTTAAGTCCGCAGCATTTGACTTTTGGATATTTTGGCCCGGATAATATATATCTTAGAAAGCCGATCTTGGCAAATCTATTTCATTCTGCAATTTTTCAAGAAACATTAAATATAAAATATTTCCCTCCTTGAAGCTTTTTTTTAAAAATAAATCTAATTTTAATTTTTAGTTTTCAGATAGGTAGAGTTCAGATTAAAGAGACTCTCTTCCATGATATAGATTTTGTACCACACGAATAGAAATAGATTGTTCGAATCACTGATAGATTTTTTCTTGACTCCACATCCAGTCTCGTTTTTAAAATTGATAAAGTTTACTTCGCAGACAATATCAATTCTGTTCACTTCAGACATTTCAATCCTAGATGCGTTTTCTTTTTAATTTATTTCTAAATATAGTTTTTAGATAGTTAGAATTTAAATAAGAGAGACTGTCTTCATTGATAGATTCTATACCAGGGGTTTCCAACTGGCAGCCCGCTGGCCGCATCCAGCCCTCGAAGCCCTTTTTTGTGGCCCGCGAACTTAAATATATTAGTTTTCATAGCGGACAATTTTCGTAAAAAATCTATAAGGGCTTAAAATACTTTTCTCGTTAAAAAAAAAAAAAACTACTTTTTTTGTCATCTGTGAAATTTAACAGTACAACGGTGCAAAAGAAATTTTTTCTCAGGTTTTGCATCCAAGAAAATATTTATTCAAATACAAAAATAATCGTGTATGTTGCTCTTTTTTATTTCNAATATAATTTAGCATGTGCGTATCAGAGATTCTCCAATTTAGCTTTTTGAAACCACTCATTTTGGACGAAATTACTTACATTTGTAAATTTTAAAGTGCATAAAAGAGGGAATGAATATCATGTTTTATCTAAATTCCTTGAATTGAATATCGAATGAGCGGAAAAGAAAAAAAATTATTTCAGATGCTTGAGAATTTTTTAGTTGTTGTTATAATTCCTTAATAAGTCGAAAAAATGTTAATTTATCACAGAATTAAATTTGAAAGTTAAAAAAATCTTGTCACTAAGTTTCAGATTAAGAGAAGATTCAAAATGATACGTAACAAGCATTATTTGTAATGCTTGTTATTTTGCCTTTTTTTTAATATCAAAAAAAGTTTTATAAAGTCTGACAGCAATATTTAATGTTCCTTCAAACATAAAAAAGTCCTGTATAAAATTTTAATAAAGTTGTGGCCCGCCAATTGACTGGTGTGTATAATTGCGGCCCCAGGCCTCATGTAAGTCGGAAACCCCTGTTCTATACCATATTGATAAAGATTGATTGTTTTAACTAACGTTTAATTTGAATTTATTTAAATCACTGATAGCCTTCTTCTTGACACCAAAACCAGCCCCCGTTTTAAAAAATAATGAATATACACATGTGATTTGGAAATAAAATGTAATCTATTTTGTAATTAACTCGTACTTATATGAAATAAATTCATTTGCTGCTTACAAAACCCTGAATTTTCTTGAATCCCATAAGTGGTGCCATTTAATTGGCGAAATTTCTTATTTATAGTAATAAACAATAAAAATATTATTTCTGGCAAAGAAATTAAAAAAAAACAAATAAACCTACACGTAAATCTGCGTTCTGTTCACATACTTCCGCTATCATAGGATTCATTTCTTCATAACCTTTGAAAGTATACACATCTTTTGATTCTTTTAAATCCTCTGCTACAATCAAAAAATCCTGTAATCAAAATCATAAATTTAGATTAAAAGAGATCCGTGTTTTTACATGACATATAAAAATAAATTTGAGTCTCTTGGAAGTCTATTGAATAATTATTTCACTTTGACTCATTTGCTTAAAAACAGCTTGTGTAGGCTACTGACAATGTCAACAGCCATCTATCAATAGGTACCTCAAGATAGCATCGATTTAACATGTCTTATATGTTAGTGAATGGCAATTGAGGAGTTGTAGAGGTAGCTACGCTACATTAGTCCCCCTTTAGAATTTTATCTGTTATAAAATTCGATGAATGAATACCACTAATTGATTCATTGTTGAGCGAGAGACTGAGAGAGCTGCATTAAGATCATCGAGCTTTTGAGTGTTGGTCGTGATATATGTATTAAGATAATGTCAGCATGTGTGGTCCCTCCTGCGTTGCTATTAGCAGTTGAATGGATACAGGTCCAGCTGTATGTGATAGAGACTGAGTAGCAACAGCGTGACGAGAACAATGTCATAGTCTCAAACAGTAAGTCTAGTGTTTACAGCGGACCACCCATCGAACTAAGTGTGTTCAAATTGAAGTGAGTGTTTAAGTTTAAATAAGCGTGTTGAGATCACGCAAGGTTAATCACCAATTATGAAAGTAGGGTACCGACAATGTACCGACCACCATTTAATAAAAGGTACATCAAGCTTGAGTCTAGTTAACATGTCTTGTATACTAATGAATGATAATTGAGTAGTTGGAGTGGTAGCTTAGCTACAATCTAAAACAAAATAAATTAAGAAATTGATAAATAAAGAAAGAAGAGAAGAGATAAGATAAACGACTTTCAATATAATAAACTAACACCCTACATTCTCAGAAATGAAACTCTCACTTTTGACGATTCTGCATTCTTTGAGCTGAATTTCGTTAAATTTCCAGACCAATTTGTTACGAAATCACGTGATTTTTGAAGAAATGCAACCTCTCCAATATATGACCAAAACTGGAAAGGAGACCATCGAGACTAGAACGACTGCGTCAGACGACCGGGTGATATTGTGGTTAAGGAATTGGCCTCATACCAGGAAGAACTACGGTTCGATTCCCGCTTCGAGCATGGGTGTGGTTTGTCTTTTGTTCTTTTTGTGTTGTTGGGGTGATGCAGATTATCTTATCTGATGCCCACAAAAAAGTGGATAATTGCGTCATCCGTTAGTTGCCATGAGGCACTACAAGTTCCTCATTATACTTTTTTTTTCAAAAATTAAATAGAATGACTAATGAATTCCTCCCTTTTGGCGAAATCTGTATCGTCGAAAAAGTGGTTATAGTTATTTCGTAATTTTTTTGGTAAAATTTTCGCTCGTAGCATATACCAGAAAATTATTTCGTCACAAACTAATTGAGTTTAATGAGATTTGAGTATCAGGTTTTTAAAATGTAAGGATATCTTATTAGTTTAACATTTTGGCATCAAATTACTTAAAATCAAAGAAGGCCTTCAACGTGTTGGTTTACCGGTGACTTTTGTAATTTTATTACCTGAAATATTTATCTTTATTTCGTTTATAAAAAGAGGTATAAAAGGTATGCATATTAATTTTTGAAAGTTTAAATTCAAGCTCTGAATTAAGGAGAGCAATGTCACAATCTGGTGAATCATTATTTATAAAAGCATGAAAAAAAACTTGGAAACGGAGCGTTAATGGATTTGATATAAAGATAATGTAATTGATAAATAAATCACAATAAATATATTACGTAAATAAAAAACTTAAGAAAGTGTTCCTCGCAAATATTTCAGCTTTCCCTATTTACTAAGTTTACATATGTTATTTATAAATGAAAGATTGTAAGTATAAAAGTTCGATAAATGTGACTATGGTGCGATTGGATAAAATTTCTATAAATGTGATATAAAAATAATTCAGTTACCTAGCATCCAGTAATTAAATTTATTGTTGATATTACCTCTTGTTTAATTCGAGCAATTATGGCATCAAATTCTTCTTTGTCCTTCGGATCTGGAAAATATTCATTTAAATCTCATTTTTAAGGCAAAAATATAAAAGAAAATCTGCCACTGTCTAAAGTCTATTAATTTCAAAAATATTTGCTTTATTAATCATTTTGGACTACAATAGTTTTTAATGAAAAAATTTTTAAGGTTATTTCCAGTTTAATTAAATAATAAATCTAATCAAACATTACAGAATCCGAACTTATCGATAACGAACTTATCGAATCCGAACAAAAACTTATCGAATAATGGAGCTGCCATGAAAATCTTTAATGTTGTTTTTTTTATTTTTTTTTATTTAATATCTTCAATGTCACTCTCACTGTGCAACTATTACTATTCCTTCAACAGGAAAATTGAAATGTCATCGATATTATTACCGTTAATCTCAGTATTTTTAAATCTAAGGAACCTAAAAATATTTTAGAATAATTTCAGAACAATTTTTTCTGATTAATTGTAAAAAAAAATGATTGTTATATAAATTGAGAGATATAAAATGACTCAATTGGACTTTTTTCTAAAACAAAATTGCCGAAACGTATAATCGAAAATAGATCGAATTAATTATTATAAAATCGAATTTAAGAGAAATTGATGAAACTAATGGAGCCGCCATTTAAATCTTTCATAACTCCATTTTTTTTATTTTTAGTATTTTCGATGTTTCTCTCATTTGTCATTTTTTAGCATAAACTGAACATGAATCGAATCTGATCATACTCGTGATCTGAACATGAATTTAAATGGCATCGATATTACCATCATTTCAATGACCTCTAAATTGACTTAACTTAAACTGATAATTGTTTATTATACATAAATAACGTATCAAAAAAAATTCAGAATAAGTATCCTGATTTTTTTTTGTTGATAAATATATTAAGTTTATACATTTATTAATTTACAGACATATCAGATCTCAATTAGATTAACTTATGTTGTTTTTTTAATTTCTTCAAATCTAGATCTAGATTTTTTAACGAATAAAACTGCGTGTGTGGGAATAGAGTGTATTGACCTCTTGAGTTACGAAGGTCGAAGACACAGCCTAATACAGGATATTACAAGGATACTCTAGCTCACCAATAAATAAGTTTTTCAAAAAGAATTAATATATAGAACGATTCTAATCTGAAGTAAAAATCAAGGATTGAAAACTTTATCAAGTTGGTTACATTTATTTATTTCGAGACATATCAGATCCTAATTAGATTAGCATATTTTATTTTTAGTTCCTTCAAATCTTTAAATCTGGATCAGATGTTTTACAACGAATAAAACAGTATGTTTAGGAATAGCGAGGATTGACCTCTTGAGTTACGAAGATAGAGGATACAGCGTAATACAGCAAATTACAAAGATACGCTAGCTAACTACTAAAGATTTTTTGGCTTGAAGAAATAATATAGAACGATTCTAATTTTAATTTAAAATCAAGGAAAAATGTGAAAAGAGAATTATAAAAAAAATTATTGTTCGCATTCATTTTAAACAGATAACAGAAACAGTTCGCTGACAATTTATAAATTAAAGTTAGTTTAATATA